ATCTCCAGCTCCTGATTTTGTGTCTTCAGGTTCTGGTTTTCTGCAGTCAGCTTGGCGTTGTTTTCAGAAATGACTGAGGTAACTACAGTGACAGACAGAGGAAGGTATTGGGCTTTGAGACTTTGTTCCAATTCAGATTTACTTTTATAACACAAATTAAAAAAAAATCCTCTTTATTTTGGCAAATCAGAAATCTCTCCCTGATGCACCTCCACTGTAAGAGATGGGACACACACTCCACAGTCCTCATTCTGTGCAACATAGATCCCAAACTTCACCTCAAGCTAGAATGAGATTTTAGTGGTATAAGTTTGTCACATCAAATGTTTAAAAATGTCCTCTTTCTGTTACAATCATTTCACTGGAGCTCAGCACAGAAAAACTGTCTAGGGAAACATAAAGAGGGAACTTTGTAGTAAAACTACTGTAAGTTCAGATGATTCACATTTGATTTCTGTAAGTCAGACTGCTGAAGCCTCGTATTACCTTCAAATAAACATTGGAATACATGTTTGCACAGGGCCAGCATGAACAGGAGGAAGGATTACACCAAGCAAAAACTGTTACAGTGTACATATGGGCAGCTGACTATTGCTTTACTACAGACTTGATACAATGTGAACCTGTCCTTTAAATGTGGACTAACAACAGCAAGTAAAGAAGAAAAAAAGCTTTAATTTGAAATAAGATTGACATAGAAGGTACTCACAGTAAATATGAAGGGACATGATTACTAACAGTATCACCCAACACGCTGCCATTGGTAGAAAAGACTGAGTGAAGGAGAGAAACTTCTGACCTGAAAGAAAAATAAGAATTCAGTTGAAGCACGTCAACAACTTGATTTAACAGTAGATGGCGCTTTGAATACATTTTACAATTAAAACAAAAGGAAAACTATATGCTGAGCTTTTGAACATTCACATTTTCAACTTTCCAACTTATTAATTTATATTTAACATCATAATGATAAATTATTGCTATGTTTAACAATATTACATGTGTGAAATTTACTGTGTTCTTAATGCACCTGATGTGGCTTCCTTTTTATCCACAGTGCGTACTGCTGTATTAACATAGTCAGCCTCTTCCTCAATTTGCTCTGAAAGATATCCAGATCAAACAATTGCTCTATAACTCAATGTTATTTACAGACTAGCTCCCAATATGTTTTGAAATCAGGATACAAAATATGGATTTTATAATTATTATTGAAAACATCATTAAATCGTATTATTCCCAATGTGTTGAGCAGAGAGGAACAATCCTGATGCAAAAGATATAATTAGAAATGAAGGTGTTGTCAATCATCAGAAACATCAAACATTGCAAAAAAGAACAAATGTAGACAAAATACTGGCCAATAAAAAGATAGAGCAGACAAAGTGTTACATGCAGACACATAAACATTAGAATGGTTTAAAATACCAGTTTCATCCTGTGGTTTTCTGTCCATCCTGAATAAAGATTTAAAATCTTGCTGCAGTCCTGTATGAAGGCTTTAAGGAAAGTCTGTGTAACTGGTGTGGGAACCTCTCTGGTCCACTGTGATGGTCTTTACTGTACTTCTGCTTTGAGGCTGTGACAGTGTTGTTTTTGCACCTTAGAAGCTAATAATGTGTTGCTGTGAAGAGAAGTCTAGTGGTTTTTGTTGCTGTTGGCAGACTGTCTCTGGTGATACTCATGAGTCAGAAATGTACATACCATTGGTCTACTGGCCTAAAATACACACATGTTAATACACACATGTTTGCTTAATACAGTCTATTCATGGAAAGTTATGTTTTTATTTCATTTGTGCCCACCCAGCCTGAACACTTTTACATGATGTGAAGCCAGTGGGGGTGTAAGGACTCCAGTACAATTGTGTCAGACTGTGGAGGCCTGATTGATCTCCACTGTGTGCCTCACCTGTCTCATGAAGTGGGTCCTGTGTTTGTACCAGAGTGTGGGGTCCTTTTGTAGGTGTTTCCCCTGCAGGAACATATTCTAATAGATATTATAAAGATGCTGGTTGATATTATAAATAAATGTATAAATAGTTAAAACTGTTGATGAACTGTAGCTGCTGCTGATGCTGAATCTTCAGTCCTGTATGACATTTAGTTTGTGTGTGCTTGTGTGTTGTTCAGCTCTTACCAAAGCTTCATCGTTAGCTTTGTTCAGGATGTTATTTACAGATCGACTCCCAATATGTTGAGAAACCATTATTCAAAAGATGGATTTTATAAATATTAATGAATAGTAACACATTAAGTCTTATTATTCCCAATGGGTTGAGCAGAGTAGGAAAATCATGATGGCAGTCATACAAAGCGTCATGCATTTTAAACAAAGTTCACCAACAGTCTTCATGAAGGCTGTAAGGGGAAAATGTGACAGTTTACATTTTACAGAAAAGTGAACTTTAACTTGTGACAGAGTTGTTTGGTTATCAGATAAGGCTGAGTAGTAAAAGGAAGTCTTCTATTAAAGATTCTGACTCACACTGTGTGTGTGTGTGTGTGTGTGTGTGTGTGTGTGTGTGTGTGTGTGTGTGTGTGTGTGTGTGTGTGTGTGTGTGTGTGTGTGTGTGTATGTGTCTATGACCTGCTGCACTTCCCCTTTCATTAACACCTTTTCAGCAGTGACTTTTTCTCAGAATCAAATATCTTTCTGCTGAGACTGCAGATGAGAAAAACAATATCTGAAACACACAATTATCTTTTTCCTTAATATGTTGTTAATAAGTGTTTTTTTTCCACTGTTAACAACACACTGAGCTGGCTGTCATTCTATCCACAGTGCTGTTAAGAGACAGAGCTTCTTCCTGAATGTTCTCTGAGAGAAATCTTATCATTCTTATATTAAAGTGTTAAACAGAGTGGAAAAATCATATCACAAAATTCTAAATGAATTTAAGCATTTTAGAACCATTTGGTGCTCAGGTGTTTCTAGCATCCGTAGCATCATATATTGCAAACACACACACAAAATAAATCTATACAACATGCTGGTACACAAAAAGATATTGTAGATACTTTCTTACATACAAACACACTAAACTGATTTAAAGTTGCCTCCACTGGTTTTCTTCGTTCTTTCATCCTGAACAAATGTTTCAAATTCTGCTGCAGTTCTAAATGAAGGCCTTAAGGAAAGTCAATGTGCACAGCCTTACAGAGTAAGGAAGTTGTCGAGTGTTGGTCTTTACTTTAGGTAGTGACAGTGTTTGCAGTGTTTCCCATAGATTGTTTTTCTCAGCAGCAGTGCTGTTGTGCACGCCGTCAAACATGCAACACTCAGACATTGTTTGGAAGTAGCTTACATTTTCAGCATTTTCGTTGGGTTTGTGGAAGACCCGAAGAAAATGTCATGTCTTTCAATACAAAATATGCATTTTCACATCATTTCTGACCATTATTATTACCTTGTCTGTGTACAGAAGTTGGAAAAGCCAGAGTAAAAAAAAAAACACCCAAAAGCCTGAAGACAAAAGTGGTTGGGGAGGCCCACTGGGGACCAACTACAACTATTAGATAGTAGTTTTAATGCTTATTGATTTATTATTTTCATGCTATTAGATCTGGGATATTTAGGTCATTTTGATGCTTTCCACATTGATTTTTCTTTCATTTGGCTTGAGTGCTGCACGTATAATGATAGGAGAAATACTCTCTAAGTGACCTCAGAATCATTATCCTATTGATTATTCATGATTATTCACGAGTCTTAATTGACTTAATTTACAGCTTCAGACATTAACTGTAGATATTAATATGAAAAAAAATTAATTTGAAAACACAGAAAAATACTAGTTTACTGTTTAAAAAGTGAACAGTAGCATTTTATTTTATTCTATTCTTCTGGGCCTTTGGTAGAAGAGCTCCGTGGCTCTGCTATAGGGGAATAAGGTGGTGGGGGCCCACTGCCACTACTACACTGTGACTGCTGCTGCCGAATGAGAGTGTGTTTGTTCTGTTGGTTATGGCTATGTAGTGTTTGAGTGCATATATTCATTGATTTAGTAATTCAGTAATTATTAAATTAAACAGTTAGTTTTGCTTCTGGAGTTGTGTTTCCTTCTGTTGTGCTCCAACACTGTTTGACATATCAGAAAGATCTAATCATGTATCACAAGCTATGATAAAATATTCACTACTGAACAGTCTCTGTGTTGAAAAAATCGAAAAGATAGAGATACCACAAATAAAACCATGAAATTCCTCCTTGTAAAACACACAATATGACACTTCCCTGATAACTGAGACTCACTGCACCGAGCTATGATGCTGTATTTGTGCTGATGTTGACTGTGTGTGTAACTGATGTGTGAGCTTCAGATGGACTGAACTGAGGCCAGATCTGCCTCTGTCTCATCCTGTTCAGGTTCAAACATGTTGTAACATCCTGAATAATGTTATTCTTTAACACTTGATGAAATCTTACTGATATTTTCAATGAGTAATATGTTAAAAACAGACAATAACAAGAATGTGTGACAGTATTTTTATTTAATATAATGGACTGAAACAGGAATTTACTTCTCGATAGATGAATAACACTTAACTGTCTCCTCTACATAATAATATTCTTTACATCAGAACACAAATGCTTAAGAAAACAGCTCTGGGATCACTCTGTTGAGAACAAGTGATGCAGCGCCCCCTGTTGGCCAATCAGCAGCAACCATTTCAAATGTTACATGACAATAACAAATAAGAAACTTTGAGCACTTTTGTTGGTCTCTTTCATCAATCTGCTGATATACAAACTGTAAGAACTGCATCTCTAACTAAGTAGAAGAAAAGCACATCAGAGTTATTAATGATTAACACTTAAATCCCCTTTAGGCCAGTTACTCTATTTTCTTCTGTATATCTGCACATATACATTAGATCTGTTTTTACCAGCAACAAACACCTAAAGTAACCATATATAGAACTTTTTAAAAAATGATCCCTTATGCATTTATTATGAAGAAGACATTATTTATAAAAATCAAGTAACTAAAATATTGTGTAGACATTGCATAACACATCTAAACAGCTACTCACTAAGGTAATCACATATATTTTATAAATATACATAAAGTTACATTCACATAGTGACATGGACTGAAATACAATCGGTGTGAAATCTACAAAAAGTACTGTCTACCCAGGAGAACTCAAGATAAGCACATTGGTGTTCTAAGCCCTTTGCAAAACCTTCAAATACAATTAAATCACAATTATAAATGTTTCCAAACTCCATTTAAACCTCATATGATCCTAATTATAACTTAACCCACTCTTTATCCCAGCCCTCACATCATTTAAAAAAATATATTTATAAACAAAACTTTAAATTGTGAAGTTTGGTATTTATAAACCAGTTGATATTATCTTACATGTAATCAATCTTTACAGAGGATCCAGTAACATTCTCAAGTTTGACTGCAGTGTTTAAACAGTTAAAGCTTTCTGTTCACAGATCCATTGTCGTTTTTCACTACAGTTCACTGAACTCAGTTCGCTGTTCTGGACAACAGTTGCACAGTGACCTTCAGTAGGACGTTCTATCCAGGATCTGAGGGAAGAACATGATGTTTAGATCAAGGCTGATAGATTTTATGATTCAAAATGTTTAGGAATGTGTCTCTTACTCTTCAGTCAGATCATTTCCATCGACCCACTTCCATTTCCCATCTTCAACTCTCAGTCCAATCCAGAACCCGTTTTTTCCTGAACTTAGCCACCATTTACCATGAATGAAAGTCTGACACCAGAGAGACAGTTATCAGACATTTAAAGACTGGACTTAAATAAACACACTGTGGCCTACAGACTCACAGTGTGCTCAGAGTAACAGAAAATATTTTGAATCTCATATAGACTGTCAAATACATGCCCACAGTTTTCTCATTACCTTCTCTTGTTCATCAGTTATAACAACCAGATCTGAACTCTTTCCTTTGCAGTCTTCTCGAGCTTCATCCCAGGGTTTCTGACCAGCAGGCCCAGGGTTATTAAACGCATAGCAGCCAGACGTGAAGTTTTCCCAGCCCTTCTGACAAGGTTTACACTGTCTTTCTGAACCTACAGAGACCAACCAATAAACAGCAGTAGTGCATTCTGATATTATTGTTATTGGTTATTTTTGGAACTAATTAATGGGTTCTGAACATACCTCCACTTTTTAGGGGGCAGTAGGCATTAATGCTCCACTGAGCTCGACTGACATTGAGCTCATTCTGCTTTGTCTCCATGTCTTGTATTTTTTCTGTTAAGTTCTTCTGCGTCTCCAGCTCCTGGTTTTGTGCCTTCAGGTTCTGGTTTTGTGTCGTCAGGTTCTGGTTTTGTGTCTCCAGGTTCTGGTTTTGTGTCGTCAGGTTCTGGTTTTGTGTCTCCAGGTTCTGGTTTTGTGTCTCCAGGTTCTGGTTTTGTGTCTTCAGGTTCTGGTTTTGTGTCTCCAGGTTCTGGTTTTGTGTCGTCAGGTTCTGGTTTTGTGTCTGCAGGTTCTGGTTTTGTGTCTCCAGGTTCTGGTTTTGTGTCTCCAGGTTCTGGTTTTCTGCAGTCAGCTTGGCGTTGTTTTCAGAAATGACTGAGGTAACTACAGTGACAGATAGAGGAAGGTGTTGGGCTTTAAGACTTTGTTCCAATTCAGATTTACTTATATAACAAAAAAACATGATAAAGAAAGGTTCACATGTTTCCAATCAATCTTAAAACAATAGTCAAGTGCCCTTATGAACATTGAAACTATTTTTTTGTTTGTTTGTTTTTTGCTGTCATCCTCTTTATTTTGGCAAATCAGAAATCTCTTCCTGATGCACCTCCACTGTAAGAGATGGGACACACAGTCCACAGTCCTCGTTCTGCGCAACACAGACCCCAAACTTCACCTGAAGCTAATATGAGGTTTCAGTGGTCAACTTTGTTAAGTCACTTGTTTCAAAATGTCCTCTTTCTGGGGCCTTAATAGCTCGCCTTGTAGAGCTTGTGCACCATGTGCCAAGGGTGAGTCCCTGCTGCACCGGCCCAGGGTTAGAGTCAGAACTGTGGCCCTTTGCTGCGTGTCACCCCCCCCTCCTGTCACTCTTAAGCTGTCACTATCTCCTAGAGGGCAATAACAGACAAAAAAAAGTCCTCCAACTTTGTAGTAAAACTACTGTAACTTCAGATGATTCACATTTGATTTCTGTAAGTCAGACTGCTGAAGCCTCGTATTACCTTCAAATAAACATTGGAATACATGTTTGCACAGGGCCAGCATGAACAGGAGGAAGGATTACACCAAGCAAAAACTGTTACAGTGTACATATGGGCAGCTGACTATTGCTTTATTACAGACTTGATACAATGTGAACCTATCCTTTAAATGTGGACTAACAACAGCAAGTAAAGAAGAAAAAAAACTTTAATTTGAAATAAGATTGACATAGAAGGTACTCACAGTAAATATGAAGGGACATGATTACTAACAGTATCACCCAACACGCTGCCATTGGTAGAAAAGACTGAGTGAAGGAGAGAAACTTCTGACCTGAAAGAAAAATAAGAATTCAGTTAAAGCACGTCAACAACTTGATTTAACAGTAGATTGCGCTTTGAATACATTTTACAATTAAAACAAAAGGAACTATTAATTATATTTCAACATCATAATTTATCATATATTTTATGTTTAACAATATTACATGTGTGAAAGTTACTGTGTTCTTAATGCACCTGATGTGGCTTCCTTTTTATCCACAGTGCGTACTGCTGCATTGACATAGTCAGCTTCTTCCTCAATTTGCTCTGAAAGATATCCAGATCAAACACAAACGTCTCTATAACTGAATGTTATTTACAGACTGACTCCCACCACGTTGGGAAACCGTGATATGAAACATGGATTTTACAATTATTAATGAAAACATCATTAATTCTTATTATTCCCAATGTGTTGAGCAGAGAGGAACAATCCTGATGCAAAAGATATAATTAGAAATGAAGGTGTTGTCAATCATCAGAAACATCAAACATTGCAAAAAAGAACAAATGTAGACAGAATACTGGCCAATAAAAAGATAGAGCAGACAAAGTGTTACATGCAGACACATAAACATTAGAATGGTTTAAAATACCAGTTTCATCCTGTGGTTTTCTGTTCATCCTGAATAAAGATTTAAAATCTTGCTGCAGTCCTGTATGAAGGCTTTAAGGAAAGTCTCAGAGTGTAACTGGTGTGGGAACCTCTCTGGTCCACTGTGATGGTCTTTACTGAACTTCTGCTTTGAGGCTGTGACAGTGTTGTTTGTGCACCTTATCAGCTAATATTGTTTACTGTGAAGAGAAGTCTAGTGGTTTTTAGTTGCTATCTGCAGACTGTCTCTCATGATACTGCCACACTGTCTGAGACAGCGGTTTATTTATCCATTGTGAAAATATTTGAAAGCCTAGGCTACATTACCCCCTCATTCGGTGTATATCTTTTCTTATTTAGTAACGTTGCCTATCATAACGATCAAAACCAGCGTGGTAAGGAATTACATTGACAACAGCTCACTCTTGCTTTAACTGGTCTGTGTTGGTAAAATAAACACTGAATGTGCTCCAGAGTTTCACTGCAAGCAGTGTGACTGTCAGTGGACTGTAGGAGGGGCATGTCTTCATGAAGGCTGTAAGGGGAAAAATGTACCAATGTACATTTTACAGACAAGTGAACTTTAACTCATGACAGAGTTGTTTGGTTATCAGGTAAGGCTGAGTAGTAAAAGGAAGTCTTCTCATTAAAGACTTTGACTCACACTGTGTGTGTGTGTGTGTGTGTGTGTGTGTGTGTGTGTGTGTGTGTGTGACCTGCTGAACTTCCCCTTTGATTAACACATTTTCAGCAGTGACTTTTTCTCACAATCAAATATCTTTCTGCTGAGACCAGGGCCAGATTAACACTTCACTGTACCCTGGGCAACAATATTCAAGGGCCCCATCATCACGACCCCAGGATCGCCATAATCTGGCAAAATACAGAATAAATTACAGTAATATACAGTAAATATAATCAATACTTCAATAACTAACTGTCATCAAGTGCATTTTGATGTACAGATGTGCAAATGCTCATAGAACTACAAACGCACCGCTATGTTCTCTTGTCAAGACCACTCACTCACATATGTTATGAAAAGAAAACACATCGGCATCAGTTTAATCTGGCAAAACTGACCCACTACATAGAGAGGGAAGGAAGTGTCCTCCATTTTCACAAAACAAATAATAAGCAACCACTTTCAAAGCATCCAATATTTATTTAACAACACCTACTCCCAACACAAATGTATTGAACTCATAGAGCCATCACAGAGGAAGTCCACAGACAAGACACAAACAAAAATCCATAATCTCCTAGAATCAAGTAGCATTTTGGTCCTCAGCTCATTTTAAGCAGAAATCACCCTGTCACCTCAGAATTCAACAGGACAATCCAGTTACAGTGCAATATAAACAGTTTGAAATCTGCCTGTTTTCTCTCAACATCAATAAACAATGGACAGCATTTTCATGGAGCCTGTACCGTACAGGGGCTGCTCGCAGACTCGAGACCCATCACCGCTTCCCTCAACGGTCGCACTCGCAGCAGAATCCGGGCCGTCGGTTGAAGATGCCGCCGGGGGGCTCTTCGCTCTCGGGGCTGTGAACATTAGCTAGCTCCGGCAGTGAAGAAGTGTCCTGGATAGCTGAGCTGTCCTCGTTGACGGATGCTGCCTCAGCAGAACAGCTGCTAACGTTTAACGTCGTAGGTAGGTCGTAGTCCACAACGTCTTCAGTCTCAGCCTGAGACTGAAGATGAGAAAAAACAACAACATCTGAAACACACATTATCTTTTTCCTTAATATGTTGTTAATAAGTGTTTTTTTCCACTGTTAACAACACACTGAGCTGGCTATCATTCTATCCACAGTGCTGTTAAGAGACATAGCTTCTTCCTGAATGTTCTCTGAGAGAAATCTTATCATTCTTATATTAAAGTGTTGAACAGAGTGGAAATATCATATCACAAAATTCTAAATGAATTTAAGCATTTTAGAACCATTTGGTGCTCAGGTGTTTTCTAGCATCTGTAGCATCATATATTGCAAACACACACACAAAATAAATCTATACAACATGCTGGTACACAAAAAGATATTGTAGATACTTTCTTACATACAAACACACTAAACTGATTTAAAGTTGCCTCCACTGGTTTTCTTCGTTCTTTCATCCTGAACAAATGTTTCAAATTCTGCTGCAGTCCTAAATGAAGGCCTTAAGGAAAGTCAGGGTGCACAGCCTTACAGAGTAAGGAAGTTGTCGAGTGTTGGTCTTTACTTTAGGTAGTGACAGTGTTTGCAGTGTTTCCCATAGATTGTTTTTCTCAGCAGCAGTGCTGTTGTGCACGCCGTCAAACATGCAACACTCAGACATTGTTTGGAAGTAGCTTACATTTTCAGCATTTTCGTTGGGTTTGTGGAAGACCCGAAGAAAATGTCATGTGTTTCAATACAAATATGCATTTTCACATCATTTCTGACCATTATTATTACCTTGTCTGTGTACAGAAGTTGGAAAAGCCAGAGTAAATTAAAAACACACCCAAAAGCCTGAAGACAAAAGTGGTTGGGGAGGCCCACTGGGGACCAACTACAACTATTAGATAGTAGTTTTAATGCTTATTGATGATGCTTTTTTTTATTTTGATGCTATTAGATCTGGGATATTCAGGTCGTTTTGATGCTTTCCACATTGATTTTTCATTTATTTGGCTTGAGTGCTGCACGTATAATGATAGGAGAAATACTCTCTAAATGACCTCAGAATCATTATCCTATTGATTATTCAGGATTATTCACATGAGTCTTAATTGACTTAATTTACAGCTTCAGACATTAACTGTAGATATTAATATGAAAAAAATTTAGTTTGAAAACACATAAAAATACTAGTTTACTGTTTAAAAAGTGAACAGTAGCATTTTATTTTATTCTATTCTTCTGGGCCTTTGGTAGAAGAGCTCCGGGGCTCTGCTATAGGGGAATAAGGTGGTGGGGGCCCACTGCCACTACTACGCTGTGACTGCTGCTGCCGAATGAGAGTGTGTTTGTTCTGTTGGTTATGGCTATGTAGTGTTTGAGTGCATATATTCATTGATTTAATAATTCAGTAATTATTAAATTAAACAGTTAGTTTTGCTTCTGGAGTTGTGTTTCCTTCTGTTGTGCTCCAACACTGTTTGACATATCAGAAAGATCTAATCATGAATCACAAGCTATGATAAAACATGCACCAATGAACTGTCTCTGTCTTATCACATGGACATTTCACAACCTTCTTTTAGTTCTTTCTTGACAAAACGAAGAAGTTAAAGATACCACAAATAAAACCATGAAATTCCTCCTTGTAAAACACACAATATGACACTTCCCTGATAACTGAGACTCACTGCACCGAGCTATGATGCTGTATTTGTGCTGATGTTGACTGTGTGTGTAACTGATGTGTGAGCTTCAGATGGACTGAACTGAGGCCAGATCTGCCTCTGTCTCATCCTGTTCAGGTTCAAACATGTTGTAACATCCTGAATAATGTTATTCTTTAACACTTGATGAAATCTTACTGATATTTTCAATGAGTAATATGTTAAAAACAGACAATAACAAGAATGTGTGACAGTATTTTTATTTAATATAATGGACTGAAACAGGAATTTACTTCTCGATAGATGAATAACACTTAACTGTCTCCTCTACATAATAATATTCTTTACATCAGAACACAAATGCTTAAGAAAACAGCTCTGGGATCACTCTGTTGAGAACAAGTGATGCAGCGCCCCCTGTTGGCCAATCAGCCATTTCAAATGATACATGACAATAACAAATAAAAAACTTTGAGCACTTTTGTTGGTCTCTTTCATCAATCTGCTGATATACAAACTGTAAGAACTGCTTCTCTAACTAAGTAGAAGAAAAGCACATCAGAGTTATTAATGATTAACACTTAAATCCCCTTTAGGCCAGTCACTCAATTTTCTTCTGGATATCTGCACATATACAGTAACTCAGTTTTTTTCAAGCAACAAACAGCTAAAGTAACCATACATACAGCTTTTTGAAATAATTTACTTAAAATAAATGTTTTTTATAAGAAAAATGATCCCTTATGCATTAATTATGAAGGAGACATTACATATGAAAATCAAGCAAGTGAAATATTGTGTAGACATTGCATAACACATCTAAACAGCTACTCACAAAGGCAATCATATATATATTATAAGTATACATAAAGTTACATTCACATAGTGCCATAGAATGAAATACAAAATGAATCACTGTTAATAATATATAGAAATAACCTAGTCTACACAGGAGAACCCAAGATAAGCATATTGGTGTTTTATGTCCTTGGCAAAACTTTCTGATACAGTTAAATCCCAATACAATCAATTTAAACCTCATCCTAATTAGAACTTAACCCACTCTTTATCCCAGCGCTTACATCACTCGAAAAAAAAGTAAACCACGAAAAATTTGAATTGAAATAAATCCCTTTAAAAACAATGTTCTCACACTCACCACGCCACTGCAAGTGCAACAAAAGCCCCACGTACATAAAGAGAAAAGGAATCATTTATTAATGTAATCCATGCAAAAGATGTACAGAGAAGGAAAAGTAGCATTCAGCAGAATATAGTTAATTTAGGTAACTCAGGTAAAGACTGCACTGAAGCAACGATTCTGCAGGACACTTTTTAAGGGAGAGAGAAATTCCCTGTAGACAGCAACAAGACAAGATCGACAAGATCAAAAAATATTACAGAGAGAGTTTATATAGAGCTATTTCATAGCCTACTTTGTTTATTAGTTATTCAGTATAAAATATATGTATATAATGTACTATATTAATATTTTAAATATAAAAAACATTAAGGAACAGCTTGGTTGAGTGCATTTCTTTTCTTAAAGTAATGCAGAGCCATTCACCTATATTATTAAAGAAAATACAAGTATTGGATCAGGACTCAGTATCAGCAGATATTAAATGTGGCTCAGGGGCAAAAAAAACTGGATTGGGACAGTGAGTGGTCAAAAGACTATAAAGGCGCTATACAAGTACAGGTCCATTTACCATTTACCATTTACTAGTATTGGTATTGGCTGTAATAAATATACTAAAATCCTTGTATCCTGGTGTCGACAGCTCCTGGTTTTTGTTTTGTGTCTCAAGTTGGTTGTTTTGTGTTGTCAGGTTCTGGTTTTGTGTCGTCAGGTTCTGGTTTTGTGTCATCAGGTTCTGGTTTTGTGTCGTCAGGTTCTGGTTTTGTGTCATCAGGTTCTGGTTTTGTGTCGTCAGGTTCTGGTTTTGTGTCTCCAGCTCCTGGTTTTGTGTCTTCAAGTTCTGGTTTTCTGCAGTCAGCTTGGCGTTGTTTTCAGAAATGACTGAGGTAACTACAGTGACAGTTAGAGGAAGGTGTTGGGCTTTAAGACTTTAAGACTTCAAATTCAGATTTACTTATATAACACAAAAACATGATAAAGAAAGGTTCACATGTTTCCAATCAATCTTAAAACAATAGTCAGGTGCCCCTATGAGCATTGAAACTGTGTTTAACTGATGTTTTTTTTTTGCTGTCATCCTCTTTATTTTTGCAAATCAGAAATCTCTTCCTGATGCACCTCCACTGTAAGAGATGGGACACACAGTCCACAGTCCTCATTCTGTGCAACACAGATCCCAAACTTCACCTTAAGCTAATATGAAGTTTCAGTGCTCAACTTTGTTAAGTCAAGTGTTTCAAAATGTCCTCTTTCTGGGGCCTTAATAGCTCGCCTTGTAGAGCTTGTGCACCATGTGCCAAGGGTGAGTCCCTGCTGCAGCGGCTCAGGGTTCGAGTCAGACCTGTGGCTCTTTGCTGCGTGTGTCCCCCCGCCCCCCCTTCCTGTCACTCTTAAGCTGTCACTATCTCCTAGAGGGCAATAACAGCCAAAAAAAAAAGTCCTCCAACTTTGTAGTAAAACTACTGTAACTTCAGATGATTCACATTTGATTTCTGTAAGTCAGACTGCTGAAGCCTCCTATTACCTTCAAATAAACATTGGAATACATGTTTGCACAGGGCCAGCATGAACAGGAGGAAGGATTACACCAAGCAAAAACTGTTACAGTGTACATATGGGCAGCTGACTATTGCTTTATTACAGACTTGATAAAATGTGAACCTGTCCTTTAAATGTGGACTAACAACAGCAAGTAAAGAAGAAAAAAAGCTTTAATTTGATATAAGATTGACATAGAAGGTACTCACAGTAAATATGAAGGGACATGATTACTAACAGTATCACCCAACACGCTGCCATTGGTAGAAAAGACTGAGTGAAGGAGAGAAACTTCTGACCTGAAAGAAAAATAAGAATTCAGTTTAAGCACGTCAACAACTTGATTTAACAGTAGATGGCGCTTTGAATACATTTTACAATTAAAACAAAAGGAACTATTAATTATATTTCAACATCATAATTTATCATATATTTTATGTTTAACAATATTACATGTGTGAAAGTTACTGTGTTCTTAATGCACCTGATGTGGCTTCCTTTTTATCCACAGTGCATACTGCTGCATTGACATAGTCAGCTTCTTCCTCAATTTGCTCTGAAAGATATCCAGATCAAACACAAACGTCTCTATAACTGAATGTTATTTACAGACTGACTCCCACCATGTTGGGAAACCGTGATATGAAACATGGATTTTACAATTATTAATGAAAACATCATTAAATCGTATTATTCCCAATGTGTTGAGCAGAGAGGAACAATCCTGATGCAAAAGATGGAATTAGAAACGAAGGTGTTGTCAATTATCAGGAACATCAAATATTGCAAAAAAGAACAAATGTAGACAGAATACTGGCCAATAAAAAGATAGAGCAGACAAAGTGTTACATGCAGACACATAAACATTAGAATGGTTTAAAATACCAGTTTCATCCTGTGGTTTTCTGTCCATCCTGAATAAATATTTAAAATCTTGCTGCAGTCCTGTATGAAGGCTTTAAGGAAAGTCTCAGAGTGTAACTGGTGTGGGAACCTCTCTGGTCCACTGTGATGGTCTTTACTCTACTTTTGCTTTGAGGCTGTGACAGTGTTGTTTGTGCAACTTAGAAGCTAATAATGTGTTGCGGTGAAGGGAAGTCTAGTGGTTTTTCTAGTTTCTGTCTGCACACTGTCTGAGACAGGGGTTCATTTATCTATAGTGAAAATATTTGAAAGCCTAGACTACAAAAACAAGATATGAAATATGTCTTTCTGGTATGTGATGGAGTGTTTGAGTGTGTTTTTAATTGATTTAATAATTCAGTCATTATGAATTTAAACATTTATGAACTGTGTTTCTGTCTGTTGTGCTCCAACACTGTTTGACATATCAGAGATCTAATCATGTATCACAAGCTATGATAAAACATGCACCAATGAACAGTATCTGTCTTATCACATGGACATTTCACAACCTTCTTTTAGTTCTTTCTTGACAAAACGAAGAAGTTAAAGATACCACAAATAAAACCATGAAATTCCTCCTTGTAAAACACACAATATGACACTTCCCTGATAACTGAGACTCACTGCACCGAGCTATGATGCTGTATTTGTGCTGATGTTGACTGGGTGTGTAACTGATGTGTGAGCTTCAGATCAGAATCAGAATCAGAATCAGATTTATTGCCAGGTAGGTTTTTACACATATAAGGAATTTGTCTAGGTGCAATGGTGCTTAAAATATACAATCACACAAAAATATACAAAACACACAAAGATCACACAAGAATAAATTACTTTTAAAAATATAAATAAATAAAGATAAGAAAGATAAGAAAAGATAAGAAGACTGTGTCAGTGGGGGTTCCAGGCATTGTTAATGAGGCCAGCTGCAGATGGAAAGAAACAGTTTTTGTGGCGTGAGGTTTTGGTCCTGATGGACCACAGCATCCTGCCAGAGGGGAGTGATTCAAAGAGTTTGTGACCGGGGTGGGAGGGGTCAGCCACAATCTTGCCTGCACGCCTCAGGGTCCTAGAGGTGTACAGGTCCTGGAGGGATGGCAGATTGCAGCCGATCACCTTCTCAGGGGATCGAATGATACGCTGCAGTCTGCCCTTGTCCTTGGCAGTGGCAGCAGCGTACCAGATGGTGATAGATGAGGTGAGGATGGACTCGATGATGGCGGTGAAGAAGTGCACCATCATTGTCTTTGGCTGTCTCATCCTGTTCAGGTTCAAACATGCTGTAACATCCTGAAAAACTTTACTCTTTAACACTTGATGAAATCTTACTGATATTTTAAATGAGTAATATGTATAAAACAGACAATAACAAGAATGTGTGATAGTATTTTTATTTAATATAATGTACTAAAACAGGAATTTGCTTCTAGATAGATAAATAACACTTAACTGTCTCCTCTACATAATAATATTCTTTACATCAGAACACAAATGCTTAAGAAAACAGCTCTGGGATCACTCTGTTGAGAACAAGTGAAGCAGTGCCCCCTGTTGGCCAATCAGCAGCAACCATTTCAAATGTTACATGACAATAACAAATAAGAAACTTTGAGCACTTTTGTTGGTCCCTGTGACAGTGTTGTTTTTGCAACTTATGAGCTATTATTGTGTTGCTGTGAAGGGAAGTCGAGTGGTTTAACAGTTGCTGTTGGCAGACTAGGACAGGGGTTCATTTATCTATAGTGAAAATATTGGAAAGCCTAGACTACAAAAACTACATATCATCAATCATCAATCTGCTGATACACAAACTGTAAGAACTGCATCTCTAACTAAGTAGAAGAAAAGCAATTCAGAGTTATTATTGATTAACACTTTAATCCCCTTTAGGCCAGTTACTCTATTTTCTTCTGTATATCTGCACATATACAGTAGATCTGTTTTTACCAGCAACAAACACCTAAAGTAACCATACATTGAACTTGTAAAAAAATTATCCCTTATGCATTTATTATGAAGGAGACATTATTTATAAAAATTAAAGTAACTAAAATATTGTGTAGACATTGCATAACACATCTAAACAGCTACTCACTAAGGTAATCACATATATATTATAATTACACATAAAGTTACATTCACATAGTGACATGGACTGAAATACAATCGGTGTGAAATATACAAAAAGTACTGTCTACCCAGGAGAACTCAAGATAAGCACATTGGTGTTCTAAGCCCTTTGCAAAACCTTCAAATACAATTAAATCACAATTATAAATGTTTTCCAAACTCCATTTAAACCTCATATGATCCTAATTATAACTTAACCCACTCTTTATCCCAGCCCTCACGTTTTTTTTATTTAATTTAAATTGTGAAGTTTGGTATTTATAAACCAGTTGATATTATCTTACATGTAATCAATCTTTACAGAGGATCCAGTAACATTCTCAAGTTTGACTGCAGTGTTTAAACAGTTAAAGCTTTCTGTTCACAGATCCATTGATGTTTTTCACTACAGTTCACTGAACTCAGTTCGCTGTTCTGGACAAAAGTTGCACAGAGACCTTCAGTAGGAGGAGGTTGTGGTTTCCAGGATCTGAGGGAAGAACATGATGTTTAGATCAAGGCTGATAGATTTTATGATTCAAAATGTTTAGGAATGTGTCTCTTACTCTTCAGTCAGATCACTTCCATCGACCCACTTCCATTTCCCATCTTCAACTCTCAGTCCAATCCAGAACCCGTTTTTTCCTGAACTTAGCCACCATTTACCATGAATGAAAGTCTGACACCAGAGAGACAGTTATCAGACATTTAAAGACTGGACTTAAATAAACACACTGTGGCCTACAGACTCACAGTGTGCTCAGACTAACAGAAAATATTTTCAATCTCATATAGACTGTCAAATACATTCCCACAGTTTTCTCATTACCTTCTCTTGTTCATCAGTTATAACAACCAAATCTGAAATCTTTCCTTTGCAGTCTTCTCGAGCTTCATCCCAGGGTTTCTGACCAGCAGGCTCAGGGTTATTAAACGCATAGCAGCCAGACTGGAAGTTTGCCAAGCCGTTCTGACAAGGTACACACTGTCTTTCTGAACCTACAGAGACCAACCAATAAACAGCATTAGTGCATTCTGATATTATTGTTATTGGTTATTTTTGGAACTAATTAATGGGTTCTGAACATACCTCCACTTTTTAGGGGACAGTAGGCATTAATGCTCCACTGAGCTCGACTGACATTGAGCTCATTCTGCTTTGTCTCCATGTCTTGTATTAATTCTGTTAAGTTCTTCTTCTGCGTCTCCAGCTCCTGGTTTTGTGTCTTCAGGTTCTGGTTTTCTGCAGTCAGCTTGGCGTTGTTTTCAGAAATGACTGAGGTAACTACAGTGACAGACAGAGGAAGGTATTGGGCTTTGAGACTTTGTTCCAATTCAGATTTACTTTTATAACACAAATCAAATAAAAATCCTCTTTATTTTGGCAAATCAGAAATCTCTCCCTGATGCACCTCCACTGTAAGAGATGGGACACACAGTCCACAGTCCTCATTATGTGCAACATAGATCCCAAACTTCACCTCAAGCTAGAATGAGATTTTAGTGGTATAAGTTTGTCACATCAAATGTTTAAAAATGTCCTCTTTCTGTTACAATCACTTCACTGGAGCTCAGCACAGAAAAACTGTAAAGGGAAACATAAAGAGGGAACTTTGTAGTAAAACTACTGTAACTTCAGATGATTCACATTTGATTTCTGTAAGTCAGACTGCTGAAGCCTCCTATTACCTTCAAATAAACATTGGAATACATGTTTGCACAGGGCCAGCATGAACAGGAGGAAGGATTACACCAAGCAAAAACTGTTACAGTGTACATATGGGCAGCTGACTATTGCTTTACTACAGACTTGATACAATGTGAACCTGTCCTTTAAATGTGGACTAACAACAGCAAGTAAAGAAGAAAAAAAGCTTTAATTTGAAATAAGATTGACATAGAAGGTACTCACAGTAAATATGAAGGGACATGATTACTAACAGTATCACCCAACACGCTGCCATTGGTAGAAAAGACTGAGTGAAGGAGAGAAACTTCTGACCTGAAAGAAAAATAAGAATTCAGTTGAAGCACGTCAACAACTTGAATTAACAGTCAATGGCGCTTTGAATACATTTTACAATTAAAACAAAAGAAACTATTTACTGAGCTTTTAAACATTCACATTTTCAATTTTCCAAATTATTAATTTATATTTAACATCATAATTGATCATATATTTTATGTTTAACAATATTACATGTGTGAAAGTTACTGTGTTCTTAATGCACCTGATGTGGCTTCCTTTTTATCCACAGTGCGTACTGCTGCATTAAGATAATCAGCTTCTTCCTCAATTACATCTGAAAGATATCTAGATCAAACAATTGCTGTACAACTCAATGTTATTTACAGACTAGCTCCCAATATGTTTTGAAATCAGGATACAAAATATGGATTTTATAATTATTAATGAAAACATCATTAAATCGTATTATTCCCAATGTGTTGAGCAGAGAGGAACAATCCTGATGCAAAAGATGGAATTAGAAATGAAGGTGTTGTCAATCATCAGAAACATCAAACATTGCAAAAAAGAACAAATGTAGACAGAATACTGGCCAATAAAAAGATAGAGCAGACAAAGTGTTACATGCAGACACATAAACATTAGAATGGTTTAAAATACCAGTTTCATCCTGTGGTTTTCTGTTCATCCTGAATAAATATTTAAAATCTTGCTGCAGTCCTGTATGAAGGCTTTAAGGAAAGTCTCAGAGTGTAACTGGTGTGGGAACCTCTCTGGTCCACTGTGATGGTCTTTACTGAACTTCTGCTTTGAGGCTGTGACAGTGTTGTTTTTGCACCTTATCAGCTAATATTGTGTTACTGTGAAGAGAAGTCTAGTGGTTTTCAGTTGCTATCTGCAGACTGTCTCTCATGATACTGCCACACTGTCTGAGACAGCGGTTTATTTATCTATTGTGAAAATATTTGAAAGCCTAGGCTACATTACCCCCTCATTAGGTGTATATCTTTTCTTATTTAGTAACGTTGCCTATCATAACAATCAAAACCAGCGTGGTAAGGAATTACATTGACAACAGCTCACTCTTGCTTTAACTGGTCTGCGTTGGTAAAATAAACACTGAATGTGCTCCAGAGTTTCTCTGCAAGCAGTGTGACTGTCAGTGGACTGTAGGAGGGGCATGTCTTCATGAAGGCTGTAAGGGGAAAAATGTACCAATGTACATTTTACAGACAAGTGAACTTTAACTCATGACAGAGTTGTTTGGTTATCAGGTAAGGCTGAGTAGTAAAAGGAAGTCTTCTCATTAAAGACTTTGACTCACACTGTGTGTGTGTGTGTGTGTGTGTGTGTGTGTGTGTGTGTGTGTGTGTGTGTGTGTGACCTGCTGAACTTCCCCTTTGATTAACACATTTTCAGCAGTGACTTTTTCTCACAATCAAATATCTTTCTGCTGAGACCAGGGCCAGATTAACACTTCACTGTACCCTGGGCAACAATATTCAAGGGCCCCATCATCACGACCCCAGGATCGCCATAATCTGGCAAAATACAGAATAAATTACAGTAATATACAGTAAATATAATCAATACTTCAATAACTAACTGTCATCATGTGCATTTTGATGTACAGATGTGCAAATGCTCATAGAACTACAAACGCACCGCTATGTTCTCTTGTCAAGACCACTCACTCACATATGTTATGAAAAGAAAACACATCGGCATCAGTTTAATCTGGCAAAACTGACCCACTACATAGAGAGGGGAAGGAAGTGTCCTCCATTTTCACAAAACAAATAATAAGCAACCACTTTCAAAGCATCCAATATTTATTTAACAACACCTACTCCCAACACAAATGTATTGAACTCATAGAGCCATCACAGAGGAAGTCCACAGACAAGACACAAACAAAAATCCATAATCTCCTAGAATCAAGTAGCATTTTGGTCCTCAGCTCATTTTAAGCAGAAATCACCCTGTCACCTCAGAATTCAACAGGACAATCCAGTTACAGTGCAATATAAACAGTTTGAAATCTGCCTGTTTTCTCTCAACAACAATAAACAATGTACAGCATGTTCATGGAGCCTGTACCGTACAGGGGCTGCTCGCAGACTCGAGACCCATCACCGCTTCCCTCAACGGTCGCACTCAATCCGGGCCGTCGGTTGAAGATGCCGCCGGGGGGCTCTTCGCTCTCGGGGCTGTGAACATTAGCTAGCTCCGGCAGTGAAGAAGTGTCCTGGATAGCTGAGCTGTCCTCGTTGACGGATGCTGCCTCAGCAGAACAGCTGCTAACGTTTAACGTCGTAGGTAGGTCGTAGTCCACAACGTCTTCAGTCTCAGCCTGAGACTGAAGATGAGAAAAAACAACAACATCTGAAACACACATTATCTTTTTCCTTAATATGTTGTTAATAAGTGTTTTTTTCCACTGTTAACAACACACTGAGCTGGCTGTCATTCTATCCACAGTGCTGTTAAGAGACAGAGCTTCTTCCTCAATGTTCTCTGAGAGAAATCTTATCATTCTTATATTAAAGTGTTGAACAGAGTGGAAAAATCATATCACAAAATTCTAAATGAATTTAAGCATTTTAGAACCATTTGGTGCTCAGGTGTTTTCTAGCATCCGTGGCATCATATATTGCAAACACACACACAAAATAAATCTATACAACATGCTGGTACACAAAAAGATATTGTAGATACTTTCTTACATACAAACACACTAAACTGATTTAAAGTTGCCTCCACTGGTTTTCTTCGTTCTTTCATCCTGAACAAATGTTTCAAATTCTGCTGCAGTCCTAAATGAAGGCCTTAAGGAAAGTCAATGTGCACAGCCTTACAGAGTAAGGAAGTTGTCGAGTGTTGGTCTTTACTTTAGGTAGTGACAGTGTTTGCAGTGTTTCCCATAGATTGTTTTTCTCAGCAGCAGTGCTGTTGTGCACGCCGTCAAACATGCAACACTCAGACATTGTTTGGAAGTAGCTTACATTTTCAGCATTTTCGTTGGGTTTGTGGAAGACTCTAAGAAAATGTCATGTGTTTCAATACAAAATATGCATTTTCACATCATTTCTGACCATTATTATTACCTTGTCTGTGTACAGAAGTTGGAAAAGCCAGAGTAAATTAAAAACACACCCAAAAGCCTGAAGACAAAAGTGGTTGGGGAGGCCCACTGTGGACCAACTACAACATTTAGATAGTAGTTTTAATGCTTATTGATTTATTATTTTGATGCTATTAGATCTGGGATATTTAGGTCGTTTTGATGCTTTCCACATTGATTTTTCTTTCATTTGGCTTGAGTGCTGCACATATAATGACAGACAATAACAAGAATGTGTGACAGTATTTTTATTTAATATAATGGACTGAAACAGGAATTTGCTTCTAGACAGATAAATAACACTTCACTGTCTCCTCTACATAATAATATTCTTTACATTAGAACACAAATGACAAACACAAGAAAACTGCTCTGGGATCACTCTGTTGAGAACAAGTGATGCAGCGCCCCCTGTTGGCCAATCAGCAGCAACCATTTCAAATGTTACATGACAATAACAAATAAGAAACTTTGAGCACTTTTGTTGGTCTCTTTCATCAATTTGCTGATATACAAACTGTAAGAACTGCATCTCTAACTAAGTAGAAGAAAAGCACATCAGAGTTATTAATGATTAACACTTAAATCCCCTTTAGGCCAGTTACTCTATATTCTTCTGTATATCTGCACATAAACAGTAAATCAGTTTTTTTCAAGCAACAAACAGCTAAAGTAACCATACATACAGCTTTTTGAAATAATTTACTTAAAATAAATGTTTTTTATAAGAAAAATTATCCCTTATGCATTTATTATGAAGGAGACATTATTTATGAAAATTAAAGTAACTAAAATATTGTGTAGACATTGCATAACACATCTAAACAGCTACTCACTAAGGTAATCGCATATATATTATAAATATACATAAAGTTACATTCACATAGTGACATGGACTGAAATACAATCGGTGTGAAATATACAAAAAGTACTGTCTACCCAGGAGAACTCAAGATAAGCACATTGGTGTTCTAAGCCCTTTGCAAAACCTTCAAACACAATTAAATCACAATTATAAATGTTTTCCAAACTCCATTTAAACTTCATATGATCCTAATCATAACTTAACCCACTCTTTATCCCAGCCCTCACATCTTTTTAAAAAAAAACTTTTTTATAAACAAATTTATTTTTTATTTTTTTAATTTAATTTAAATTGTGAAGTTTGGTATTTATAAACCAGTTGATATTATCTTACATGTAATCAATCTTTACAGAGGATCCAGTAACATTCTCAAGTTTGACTGCAGTGTTTAAACAGTTAAAGCTTTCTGTTCACAAATCCATTGATGTTTTTCACTACAGTTCACTGATCTCAGTCCACTCTTCTGGACAAAAGTTGCACAGTGACCTTCAGTAGGAGGAGGTTGTGGTTCCCAGGATCTGAGGGAAGAACATGATGTTTAGATCAAGGCTGATAGATTTTATGATTCAAAATGGAATGTGTTTCTTACCCTTCAGTCAGATCACTTCCATCGACCCACTTCCATTTCCCATCTTCAACTCTCAGTCCAATCCAGAACACGTTATTGCTGTGACTCCATTCACTGATATAATTCTGACACCAGAGAGACAGTTATCAGACATTTAAAGACTGGACTTAAATAAACACACTGTGGCCTACAGACTCACAGTGTGCTCAGACTAACAGAAAATTTTCTGAATCTCATATAGACTGTCAAATACATTCCCACAGTTTTCTCATTACCTTCTCTTGTTCATCAGTTATAACAACCAAATCTGAACCCTTTCCTTTGCAGTCTTCTCGAGCTTCATCCCAGGGTTTCTGACCAGCAGGCTCAGGGTTATTAAACGCATAGCAGCCAGACTGGAAGTTAACCCAGCCCTTCTGACAAGGTACACACTGTCTTTCTGAACCTACAGAGACCAACCAATAAACAGCATTAGTGCATTCTGATATTATTGTTATTGGTTATTTTTGGATCTAATTAATGGGTTCTGAACATACCTCCACTTTTTAGGGGACAGTAGGCATTAATGCTCCACTGAGCTCGACTGACATTGAGCTCATTCTGCTTTGTCTCCATGTCTTGTATTAATTCTGTTAAGTTCTTCTTCTGCGTCTTCAGCTCCTGGTTTTGTGTCGTCAGTTTCTGGTTTTGTGTCGTCAGTTTCTGGTTTTGTGTCGTCAGGTTCTGGTTTTGTGTCTTCAGGTTCTGGTTTTCTGCAGTCAGGTTTGTGATCTTGCTTTCTAAGGCAGTATAGGATTTAGTCAGGTTGTTGTGGTCCCTCCTCAAGTTTTCATTTTCTGAGCTCAGATTGCGGTTGAGGTTTGTCAGGTTGTGATTGTCAGCCAGTAGAGACGTTTGGTTTTCTTTTAATTGGTTCAGCTCACCCTCATGATTTAATGTAGTGACTGCAAAACGAAAATAATAATGCAATTTTTTCCCGTCCATTTTTTTTTGTTATTTTCCACATTTGGAAGCTAATTCCTGTCTGCTCTCCTTCAGGTTTTCAGCTTTTGGAAGTTGTTGGCTCTCAATGTGTTCCTTCAATGTACAAGATCAACAAATCCCATGAAAAGACTAAAACAAACGTGTTAATCTGAATCTTAGTACTTTCGAACTTCCTCTGTGACACTCAGAGCCTAATTGGTTCCTACTTAAGTCAACATTTAACGTTGTCTAAATCAGCTGGGCACTGTAGTTTTAAGTAAACATTACTCAAACAGGAGTGGACCGTGCATTTGTCTGGGATGTTTTTCTGGCAGCAGGATGGTGTGTGTGGGACAAAAGCTGACAGATAACATTGGAGCTCCAAGGATCAGTGCTGTGTTGGTTTGGGTCTGATCATGGGATATGTTCGCAATAAGAAGAAATATATAATACAATTTAACTTATCCTTTAATGCCTTCCTGTTTCTACTAATTCTGTCACCAACCTTTCACTGCTGTTATGTGGCTTCAAATGAATTCACATATTCAACCAACTATATGATCGATAAAAGGCTTTATTCTGAAGTCAAATTTAAGTGGGAAAAAATAAACATTAAATTTATATTTGTTCATTTTGTTTCATTTTGGTTAAATAACCACAAAGCTATAAAACATGGGAATAAAAGTTATTAAGATAACATACAACAACAACAACACAACAATATGCTTTACAGTGTGATACAGTGGGCTTCTCCAAGAATAAATAAATGGTTGCACATTGAAAATAGAAATCATGTAAATAAGAACCCTGTCTTATGAATCCTTTACTCTCTGCAGACATTTCTACATCAGATTTTGTCTCTAGAAATTAACTCTGTTCCTAAAAGATTAAAACAACAATTTGAGGCAGATTATGTGAATAAAACAAACTGCCTATAGATAATAGAGTTAATGCACGGACTTCCTGTTCTGTATACTTACGGTAGACGCAGACTGCTATGACGCCCAACAGCAAAATGACACAAAGAACCCCCAAACAACAAGCCAACTGCTGATAGCGCCGACGTCTGTTGTTTGCTTTCTTGTCTGGCAAGATTCCTGCTGAGGCTAAACAACAAAATATAAGAGTTAGACAGTTCACCTCTGGGTCTCCTAATGGAACGGACAAGGGGGGGAACGGGGGATCCACTGTAAGTCAGTCACACCTCGACTTTCTTCTAAATAACTCGAAGGGGGTCTAGCCCAGGGTGTCATTCAAGATAGAACCGCCACTGCTTAAAGTAGAAGCAGTAATAGTGGAAGTGTTAGGAAGAAGGGATGTCCGATAATATCGACCCTCCGATATTATCGGCAGATATTCACTAAAAAATTTAATATCGGGAATTATCGGTATCGGGTTTTTATAACCGATGTTTGTTCTGTAGGCTTCAGCAATTCAGAGCCTACATGAACGCAGCATGGGACGTTTACTGGCGAGCGCTAGATGACGTATATTAACAGCAACTACACTAGACTGGTTGGTTGCTAACCGTGGCTAACAAGCAAACAATTTAAAGCTGAATGATTTTAATATTAACACAAAATAAGTGCAATGCACCTTAAATATTTGACCCTGCTATGAGCTGTTCCTTAATTTACATTAGCACTCCTTCAGGTGCATAATACAATTAAACACATTAACCAAAGCTAGTGCTCAGCTAGTGATTAGCATTAGCGCTCTTTTCAGTATTAATACAATGAAAGTTGACGTTGTTCTCTTATTTTGCACAGACAGTGTTTACATTTGGAAAGCCATGTTGCATTTATGTATGCATCCAGTGGGGCATCACAATAAGATTAGGCATAATGTGTTAATTCCACAATAGGAGATATGTTATGTTGTTATCTAACAACAGTTTTGGTGTAAAAAGCCTGCATATTGGAAATTGAGAGTTGGACAATATCGGAATATCAGATATCGGCAGAAAAGCCAATATCAAGCATCCCTATTAGGAAGTGTTGGTGGTAGTTAGAGCAGTACTTCTGTAGTAGTGGCTGTAACATTAGTTGCATTTGAAGCACTCGTCTAACACTGTGCTGACAAAGACAGATTCAAAATGACTAGACATATTCATTTCCTAATATGGGTTAAACACCCCATAATACAATGTGATAGCATGTTTTCACTAGATCGTCCCAGAGAGTCCACTGCACACTATGTTTTTTGTTCAACTTACCGTCTGTGTCACCAGTTTGTTGGGTTGTTTCACTTCGTACCTTCACTTCATCGTACACAATGTCCTCCTCCTTTTTTGCTGAAAGGTTGAAGGACATAATCATTAAATTCTATACAGTGTTCTAATAACAAGGGACTTTAAAAGTTTATAATATTATTTGAAAAGTAACAAAAGCTAAACACAAGATGATGACATTGTCACAGTTGCAGTGAGCGCATCCTGTGAAAAGGGAAACTCTCCCTTTTTAAAAAGGAAACACTTTAAAGAAACTATTTCATTTTCCATTTGCCTGACTGGTTTTAGCTAGCTGTGGTTAGAGTGGATTCTCTATTGTGGGTTGCAGAAATGTGCAAAACTAAACAAAAGACCAACAGTTTACATCCAATATGTCAAAAAAAAAAAAAAAAAAAAAAAAAAAAGTAGAATGCAACAATTTAATATATAACTTCAACCTATATAACTGTAATAAGAGTTTTAGGAACCTAATTCCAATATAACATCATCATTTTACATTTTGGAATATACATTGAGGAAGTGGTAATAACAGTTGGTAAAAGGATTCAAAGTGTGAGATCAGAGTTTAACAGTTTAACAGTTTAACAGTGATGCATGTACTACTTTACTGGTTTTCTTTGTCTAATAATAATCAACATTTTGAACATCAGTGCCAATGTGCAGGGTTAGCTCAACATCTAATTTCCACTGTCTTCCTGCAGTTTAAAAAAAGCTGCAATTCAACAACGTCATGCTACAGAGTTTTACAGATGTTCCTGTTTTAAACCCTGGTTGCACCACAAATGTCTCTTTCACAGGACACTACAAATTTAAACTTATTCGGATTTAACATTCTGATCGGTAAAAAAAAATCCAATTCACATTCTGAGATTATTGAAGAAACTATCAGTCCAAGAAATGAACATTGCTTATGAGGATGATCACACAAACAAACCAGTAAAGTGACAAGTTTCCACAATTTGACAAACTAAACTTACCTTCAGGTGGGGAATTATTTTTAGCTTTGAATACAACTGAAGCGTAGTTAACCTCCTCCTCTGCCATCGCTACAGTCGTTCTCTTGAGTGCTCTGTGACTTGTAGACAGAGAAGTACCACTGTAATTGAACCACGGAGCATCCCTATACGAGAAGTGGTTGTTTCCTCTGTTGTGTTGAGTCTGTCACTCACTGCCTTGTA